TTCTCTCTCTCTGCCCTTGCCACCCCCCTATCAAAATAAATAAATAAACTTAAAAAAAAAAAAAAAAGAGCCGGCAGGCAAAGGCAAAGCATCCGGTGATGGGAACCAGAACTACCCATTCAAGCAACAAGGGCCGCCGCATGACTGACCCTGAGACAGCGATTGCCTTGACCTCTGCTGCTCAGCTGTGGACCTGCCCACTTTGTCCCACATCGTCCTGCGTAAACCTGGAGTCTTTACAGCACGTTGGAGACAGTCTTTGATATGCTGGCCCGCTGCTTCCGAGGTGGCCTCGCTGAAATGAATCCCCACCGCTCGCCTCTCTCTCTGCCTTTGGGTTTGGTCAGCAGCCAGTGGGCGAACCCGGTATGTCTGGGCCCCCGGGGCCAGGCGATCTTGCACCCCCCGGGCCCCGCTTCTGATGGGATGAGTAGTTCTGACGACAAATGAGAGCTCCTGCCACACCCGCCCCAATTCCCAGCCCCAGCTCCAGGTTCCCAGCCATCCTCAAACCTTCTGGCTGTTGCCACCGATATTTACCTTCATATTTCTAAATAATCTTGTTTAGCTGGAACTGCTGTTTTTTCTTTCTTTTCCCCCCCAAATTTTAAAGATTTGTTTTAAGTTTATTTACCCATTCTGAGAGAGAGCATAAGCAGGGGAGGGGCAGAGAGAGAGAGAAGCCCAAGAAGGTTCCGCACTGTCAGCGCAGAGTCCGACATAGGGTTTAAACTCAAAAACTGCAAGATCACGACCAAGAGTCTGACACTTAATGTACTGAGTCACCCAGACTCCCCCCCTTTTTTCCCCCCAATTTTAGACTTTCTAGAGAAATAGATTGACTTTTTTTTTTTAACGGAAGGTGAGGATGTAGCTCTCTGCATCCTACCCTGTGCATGAAGATACACCCTTTGCCTCTCCTTCCCTATACGTTCAAATCCCAAATTTTGGTTAAATCAATATTTAGCATTTAGATTGTCACGAAACAGCCGTGTTAAATACTGTGATCCATTCTGTTTCCTCCGGCACTTTTCCACTTCCCTTACAGCTGACAACGATCTGGGAAGACCAGCAGCCGAAGAGAAAACCAGCCAAAGCACGTACACATTCCACAGGAAATAAACGCAACTGGCTCTTAAATTTTTTAAAAGTTGCTCAATCTCACACATCAGAGAAATAAAAATTAAATCTATATCGGGAGAGCATTTCTCATTTGTCAGCTCGGCAGAAGCCCAGGAGCCTGCAACACCACAGGCGGGTGCGGCCGCGGGGAACAGGCCCTTCGTAACAAGGCCGCGGGGGCCAAGCGCGAGGCTGGCGCGGGCAGTCTGCGGACATCAAGGTCAGGTGCAGAGGCGCCCCTCTAGCCCGGCGAGCCCGCCTCCAGGGTTCGTCCCGCAGCTGCACCTGCGCGTGTTGGGAGACCATGCCTGTGTGCAGGGACGGGGGCGCTCGTTTACAAGAGCAAAGCCCCAGAGACACCAGGCGTCTCTCTAGGAGGCCTGGTCACACACCCCGGTCACATCCACACAGGGAGCGCTAAGCCACCCGCCAAAGAGAGGGAAGCTCCCCGTGGAAAGATCTACAGGATATGATGTCAGGTACGTGCAAAACAGCACATATGGAGTGCAGGGAAAGAGACACCTGGCTGGCTCAGTGGGAAGACACACAGCTCTTGATCTCGGGGTTGTGAGTTCGAGCCCCACATTGGGTACACAGGTTACTAGAAAAAATAAACTAAAAAAAGAAATAGAATGCAAGAAAAATAAGAGCAAATACTTTCTGTGCACGTTGTTAAAAACACTGAAACACAATAGCAATAGTATGAGCATAGATAACATTCCTGAAATCTTGAACTGTGTGCTTGAAAATGGTTACAGTGACAGGGCCCTTGGGTGGCTCAGTCGGTTAAGCCACTGACTTAAGCTCGGGTCGGGGATTCGAGCCCTGCGTCAGGCTCTGTGCTGACAGCTCAGAGCCTGGAGCCTGCTTCTGATTCTGTGTCTCCCTCTCTGACCCTCCCCTGTTCACACTGTCTCTCTCTCTCTCTCTCTCAGAAATAAATAAAACATTAAAAATTTAAAAAGAGAGAGAGAGAGAGAGAGAGAGAGCCTATGCAGGAAGTGTGTGAGCAGGGGAGGGGCAGAGAGAGAGGGAGAGAGAATCCCAAGCAGGCTCTGTGTCCTCAGCGTGGAGTCCGATGCAGGTCTCTGCCCCATGACCCCGGGATCATGACCTGAGCCGAAATCAAGATGTGCTCGGGGCGCCTGGGTGCCTCAGTCGGTTGAGCGTCCGACTTCGGCTCAGGTCATGATCTCACGGTTTGTGGGTTCGAGCCCCACGTCAGGCTCTGTGCTGTCAGCTCAGAGCCTGGAGCTGCTTCAGATTCTGTGTCTCCCTCTCTCTCTGACCCTCCACTGCTCACGCTGTCTCTCTCTCTCTCTCAGAAATAAAAACATTTAAAAAAATTAATAAATAAAACATTAAAAAATATTACTGTGCTCGCTTCAGCAGCACATATATTAAAATTGGAATAAATTTAAATATTACTTAGAGGGGCTCCCAGGGGGCTCAGTTGGCTGAGCGTCCACCTTCAGCTCAGGTCATGATCTTGCAGTTGATGGGTTCGAGCCGCACGCTGGGCTCTGTGCTGACAGCTCAGAGCCTGGAACCTGCTTTGGATTCTGTGTCTCCTTCTCTCTCTTCCTCTCCCCAGCTTACACTCTGTCTCTATGCCTCTCAAAAATGAATAAATATTTTTAAAATAATAATAATTTTTTAAACTTTAAAAATAAAATAAAATATTGCCTGGATTATTTTATTTATTTATTTTCACTTTCTTTTCCTGATTATCATTTCATCCCTAAACTTTTCATCTCTTTGACCCTTCCTGTCAATGTGATCAAACTCATCAAACCGTTTGGCCATGCTAGTTTTTAAAAGATTTTATTTATTTTTATGTATCTGTTATTTTTTCTTTTTTTAATGTTAATTTATTTTTTGAGAGACAGAGAGAGCGTCCAAGGAGGGGAGGGGCAGAGAGAGAGAGAGACACAGAATCTGAAGCAGGTTCCAGGCTCTGAGCTGTCAGCACAGAGCCCTACGCGGGGCTTGAAACCACGAACCGTGAGATCATGACTTGAGCTGAAGTCAGACGCTTAACCGACTGAGCCCCCAGGCGCCCCTTGAGGTCTTATTTCTGAGTAATGTCTACGCCCGAGACCAGGAGTCGCACACGAAGCGCCTTATTCTTGAAGACCCCTCCCGGTGCCCAGTGTCCTGCGCCGCACGGGGCGGTTGGTGGACACACCTCGGGGCGTCCCTCCTTCAACCGTCTGGGAATGAATGCCCTTCCCCGCCTTGCTGAGGACAGCCGTTTGCTGGAGGCCTGTCTCGTTTTGAGGGGCCCGTGTCCGAGTGCTCGCCGAACCCCGGTGCCCGGGAGGGAAAGGCTGTGTGTCACTGACCGGCTGGCGTGCTCTTTCCTCGGGCCCCACGCTTTCGTTCTGTTCGCCGGGGGGAGGGATTTGGGTTGGAAAAGGTTTTGTTAAGGGTTCCCGGGTCCCCTGGCTCCCAGTGTTGCTGCTGAGAAATCAGACATACAACTGATTCTTTATTCTTTCTTTTAAGTTTATTTATTTTTGAGAGGGAGAGAGAGCACGTGAGAGAGACAGGGGCAGAGAGAGAGGGAGAGAGAGTCCCCAGCAGGCTCCACGCCATCTGCACAGAGCCCAGCGTGGGGCTCGAACTCACACACAGTGAGATCATGACCTGAGCCCCCTAGGCGCCCCAAGTTGCAACTGATCCTTGCTCCTTTGCGTGAAGGCAACCCAGAGAAGGTCTGAGAGGGTTTCTTGTACCATTTCTTGGGTAACTTCTTCCCACACCCTTTCTCCTGTTAGCTGGATGCCCAGTCTCCTGAATTGTTTCTCTAATTTTTACATTTTTTTCCCTTTATTCCTCAACACTTTGTCTAGTTAATGTGCTTTCTTAGGGATTTCCACACCTAGACTTCTCATTCCTTTGATTGTTTTTACTAACCTATATTTAATTTCTGAGTAATTAAATTTCTAATTTATTTCTAATATAATCTTATTTCATGAATCCTCTCTTACCTCTAAAAATATGTTACTAGGGCACCCGGCTGGCTCAGTAAGTGGAGTGTCCGACTCTTCATCTCAGGGTCGTGAGTTTGAGCCACACGATGGGCACAGAGATATTGGAAAAAAAAAAAACTTAAAAAGAAAAACAATCAGTTATTGTTTCTTTTCTTAAATTGAGATTTCTTTTTTATTTGTTTTGCTTTGTTTTGTTTTTAAGTAAGCTGTAGGCCCAGTGTGGGGCTTGAACTCGCAGCCCCAAGACCAAGAGCCGCACGCTCTGCAGACAGAACCAGCCGGCGCCCCTCAGTCGCCCTTCCTTAGTTCATCTGCCCCCACATCGCTGGACACTCGTGACTTCCCGCCCTCCACCCGTGCTTCATTCTCTGCCTGTTTCTCACTGATGCCTGCTGGTCCCTCGCTTCCCTTCGTGTTTCAGCATGAGGCACGGAGGATCAGCTGCTTGTGGCAAAGACGGACATCGGCGCTGTGCGCAGATGGGGTCCAAGCACCTAGAAGGCAGCCCGGCGCATAGTAGGTGTTCAATAAATATTTCTGGGACGGAGGAATAAAGGGCTTTATTTTTTCATCTTTAAAAAATGCTTTTAGGGGCGCCTGGGTGGCTCAGTCGGTTAAGCGTCCGACTTTCGCTTAGGTCATGATCTCGCGGTTCGTGGGTTCGAGCCCCGCGTCGGGCTCTGTGCTGACTGACAGCTCATGGGAAGGCACCCGGTTTCAGAGTCTGTCACTCCCTCTCTCTCTGACCCTCCCCTGCTCACGCTGTCTCTCTCTCTCTCCTAGAAATAAATAAAAATATTTAAAAAAATAAAAATAAAAATAAAAATAAAAAATGCTTTTAATGTTTATATATTCTTTGAGAGAGCGAGAGAGAGAACACGAGCAGGGAAGGGGCGGAGAGAGAGGGAGACACAGAATCCGAAGCAGCTCCAGGCTCTGAGCTGTCAGCACAGAGCCCGACAGCGGTGTGGGGGGCGGGGGGGCCCAACCCATGAGCCACGAGACTGTGACCTGAGCCGGTCAGATACTCAACCGACTGAGCCACCCAGGTGCTCTGATTTTCTCATCTTTAAATGTTGACCTTTTCTCTGGGACTTTTTCTAGAAAAGTCTCATTCCTGAGGACCCAGTTCTGGCTTCCAGGAAGCGGCTGGGGAAGGGGCAGGGGTCTCCGCACTCGGCACGCAGATCGACCGTTGTTTCGGTACACGTGTCCCTTTCACCTGACCCGCGTGGCGTCCCGCCCTCCCCTCCGGTTAAGATCCTACGGCCTCGCAGGGTCCGGGGCCGCAGGCAACGAGCCGGGGCCCCCGAGGCGAGGCTCACAGCGTCCTGGGAGGAACGCAGACACTCACACGTACGCGGCAGGTAGTGACGGATTCTGGGAGAAAGCAGTGCAGTTACAGGGGATGACGCGGCTGGAGCGCGTGTGAGCCTGCCCGTACACGCTCGTGTGCCCAGGGACCCCCGAAGGGCCTCCCCACCGGGTGATGGCCGGACAAGCCAAGACCGCATCTTCGGAGAAAGTTTCCAGCCTGAGGGTCGAGTGCGAGTTCCCCTGCGGCTGGAGAAGGGGGAGAAAGGGCAGAGGGGGTCTGCGCCCGCGGGGGAGGGGCCGGGCCCCACAGCACAGTGGTTACGCACCTCGTTTCACGGTGAGTGGGACCTGTGGCCCTGGGGAGCCAGGATCAAATCTACAGCGACTCGTCTACGGGGCGCCCGGCTGGTTGGGTGGGGGAACACGTGACTCTTGACCTCAGGGGTGTGAGTTCGAGTGGCCCCGTGCTGGGGGCAGAGGTTATTTACAACTAACACGTCTAAACGGGGCAGCCGGGGGGCTCAGTCGGTTAAGCGTCTGATTCTTGGTTTCGGCTCAGGTCAGGATCTCCCGGTTTGGGGATTCAAGCCCAAGGTGGGGCTCTGTGCTATCAGCAAGGAGCCTGCTTGGGATTCTCTCTCTTCCTCTCTCTCTCTGCCCCGCCCCCCCCCACTTGTGCCCTTTCTTTCTCAGAAAAACAAAACAAAACATATAAAACAAGTCTCTCTCTGTGCTGTTGTGTACAGAATAGGAGCCCGCAGGGCAGTGGCCGGGGCCTGGCGGGTAGAGCTGGGAGTGGTTAAGAAGGTACTGGAAGGTCGGCCTGACAAGGTTTACTGAGGATCAGATGACAGATGACAGGAAGGAGGTCAAGGACAGCTGCCCTGTTGTTTTCGGAGGCTGGAGGCAGGGGGGGGTTGGGGTGGGAATCATGAGGGCGTCAGGCCGTGTGCAGTGCAGGCGGCTGCTTAGGCGTCCTGGTGGAGGCGGCCGGTACGCACGGACATCAGGGGACCGACAGGCTCAGTGTGAGCCCTCGGGATACAGACGGCGCTTATGGCACGGAGCTTGACGTGATCTGACAGGAAGCTCGAGGGCTCAGGGCGCAGGGGGCTCCCACGCGGTGGGGCTTGCAGGGGTGCTGCTGCTTAGCACTAGGGGTGCAGGAAAGACCTGGGGGTGCCCCTGCCCGAGGCTCCCTGTTCCCACCTGCAGCCGCGCCCCGGGATGCCTGTCTCCCGAGTCCTGAGCTCTGCCTGGTCCCCGGGGGCCAGTGGACCCCCGTCGGCTGACCGTACTTTGCAGGCACCCACCTTAGAGCCCCCCCCGAAGATGGGCCCCTCCTCAGCTGCTGCCCACCCTCAGGGCCATTAGGCCTCCCGGGTGGTGGCCCTTCCCTCCCGCTGGGAAGCCACACGATTATTTTATCATCATCCGCACTCACTGCGCTGTGATCTTGAGAAGGAGGCGCGCACGGTGAAGCCCGTGCCCCCACTCCCCGAGGCTCTGAGTGTCACTGTGGGCAGAGCCGAGGAGCCCAGCCCAGCTCGGCCGCTTGCAGGGGTGCGAGCCTGGAAAGGCTTCTCAGGCCCCTCAGTGCCCGCTCGGGTGCGGTGGTGCCAGGGAAGTGGTGCCCGGGAGGTGCCGCCCCCCCGCTGGCTCCTCCGCCCTCCCCACCCCCTTACAACGCCAGCTCCCCGGACACACACATTGGAACAGGAATAAGAATAGACAAAATGGGGGGCTGCCGGGTGGCTCAATGGGTTAAGCGTCCAACTTGGGCTCAGGTCATCATCTCACAGTTCACAAGTTCGAGCCTTGCGTCGGGCTCTGTGCTGACAGCTCAGAGCCTGGAGCTGCTTCAGATTCTGTGTCTCCCTCTCTCTCTGCCCCTCCCCACTCCTCGCTCTCCCCACCCCCAAAAAATAAACCAAGAGGCCGCACAGGGACTCTGCTTCCCCTCAGCGGGGTCCACGCCCCCCCCCCCCCATCCTGTGGGTGAAGAGATTCGCTACCAGAAACTACCGCTGGGAGGCTGTGCCTGACGCCCTCTCCACAAAGGATCACACCTCCCTTTGGCCATTTCCCAAACTGGAACCCCAAGAACCCCGAAGTCCGGGGCGCCCCGGCTCCCTGCCACACGCCACGTCCACCTGCGTGTCCCACACCCTGTCACGGCCGCATCAGAGCGGACTTTGCTCAGGGACGAGTTTCACAACCCTCCACAAACAGCAGTGCTACATTTATCCACACACGAAAGCAAACAGCACGTTAGAAGTTGCTAGAAGTTTAGAAACTTTATTGTTCCTGTCCCCAAACCCCTATCTTTGTCACATTGTTTAGGACTTGGGGGACAGATCTCAGTCCCATGGTCCCCAAATCAGTCCCATTACTTGTCCTTTAGAGCTGTCTCTTCTGAACAGAGACGGCGTCAGACCCTGTCCCTGCCCCCCTGGGCGCGGCAGCCGGGCTTCAGAGTCCCTCCGGCACCCTGGGCTGGAAGCCACCGCACAGCAGCGGGGCCGCCCCTCCACGGGCCTCTACAGGGATGCGGATTCAGCCTTAGGAGGGTAGCGTGAGGTTAGCGCGACGGGCTGCGTGAAGCTCCCACGGGCCCGTCCCGTCGCGGAAGCGCGGCAGGGGTCAGGGCTCCTGACGTTGAGTAAAGGTGCTGTTGCCTCTCCGATGTCAGTCAAGCGTCAGAGCCACGAGGCCGCAGGAGTTCAGGGCCGGACGAAGCTCACCAGGGCGGCTCCGAGGGGAAAGGAGGACTCACTGAGTCGTGCGTTTAAATGACGGTCCCCAGCCGGGTGCGGATTGCCGCCTCGCATGAATACTTTAGGAGAGGCGGGTCCCAAATATCGCCTCGGTTGTGCTCCTACTAAAGCAGCGCTGTGTATCTGAAACTCGGTTTAACCGGGGATGCTCGATTTTCATTTGCTAAATCCGGAAGGCCCGACCGTGAAAAGAGCGCGGCCTGCGGCCTGCGAGGCTGGGAGGCGGGGGAGGAGGGGACCCGACGGCGTGCGGCTGGGACACTCGCCAGACACCAAGAACCCCTGGCCGGCAGTTAGTGTCCCTCACGTTGTCACGGCTGAGGGGGCTGAGACCCAGGCCCGCTGCTGCCCGTGCTTAACCCGCCCCCCGGCCTCCCTGGGGCAGCGCGGAAACACAGGAAAGGGCTGGAAGGCCACCTTCACGTGCAAGCCCACTCGGGTCCCCTCCAACGCAGCCTCACGACCGAAGAGCCATCGTCATTTCTCTTCGAGAGTCGAACCCCGCACCTAGACTTGCGGATCGCCACTCCAACACTTGCGTTGAACCAGGCTGCGTCTGGGGCACCTTTGGGGCACTTGCATGGGTCAGATGTCCCTTCTGTCCTCAGTGTTGCTCTACTCGTCCCAACAACCAGCACAGAGGGCGCCCAGGTGCGGAGCGGCACATCCTCGACCGTCAGGTGCCAGGAAACGTCATGGCGGTGACAGATTTACCCCGGTCACCTTGCCCCCCACAAACGCTGTCCCCAAGGGATTTCCACGTGAGATAGACATCAGGTATCAGAACCACAATAAGACAAAACCACATTTTCTTCAAATTATATCTTGAATTCCACCAATTCTAAATTCAGCACAATTACTTCTATATTCCATTGAGGCAGAGTTCAAGGACAATGAAATTTAAAAATATATCTTAAATATGATAACTTTTACCAAATTAGGTCTGCAAAGTAATCCGGTTAAAAAAAAAAACAGGTTAATTCAGCAAACATGAACCAAGAGCCCACTGTGGGCACGGAGCTATGAGAGGGGCACAGGTCTTCCCACGGCGTGTGACGGGGACAGACACATCCAGCTGAATTTCAGAAGGGAAGGGACAAAGTAAACTGTAAAAGACGAAATGTCGGGGCACCAGCTGGCTCAGTGGGTTGAATGTCCAGCTTGGGCTCAGGTCATGATCTCGCAGTTTGTGAGTTCGAGCCCCGCGTCCTCTGTCCCCCTCCCCCACTGGTTCTCTCTCAAAAATAAATACCAGGAAAAAATACAAAAGGAAAAATGTCAAGAGGACCCAGCAGAGGGAGTCACTAGTGCACACCGTGGCGACATGGTGCTCAGCCACCGGGAGGTCAGACTTTGACGACGGCCCAGGCAGAGAGAGGGACGGAGGGGACAGTCACCCAAGGGAGGGAGCCATGATGCAGGAGGGTAACATCGGCGTCTAACTTCCCGAATGCACACGCAGCACCCTAATTATCACGTGTTGTCAACCAGCCTCACACCCACTCGCTGCAGAAGCAAAACTCACACCTGCACTCTGACCCCTGCAGCCTTTCACTGACGATTTACAGGTACGGTGGCTTTTAAATGCTGCTAGTTTCCCAGACCAAACCACCCTCCCAGGTCCGGAGGCCCTTCCCGCACATTCCAGCCCCGGGAACACACACCCCGACCAACAAGGGGCTCCTTCTCTGGCGGCCAGCCCCCGCCCGCCCCTCCACACCCCTGCCTCCAAACGCCCTCGTTAACCCGAGCTCCGGGCCACACAGGCGCAGCATTACCAGCTCCCCACACACAGTGCCAGACAGGAAACACATTTGGAGGATTTTAAACAATTTTAAAATGTGCCTTCAAATTTTACAACTCGCTTTACTCGCCCGAGGGAGGAACCAAGCCCTTTATATAAATATCGCCCAAACAGGCCTGCTGTCCCTCCCACCCAGCTCGGGGCTCGGGCTTCGCGGCGCAAGCCTCGGGTGAGCTTGGGGGGCTTTGTTTATTTTGACTTTTTTTTTTTTCATTTCGTCTGTGTCGTCTGCGGTCACTGGCCTTCTCGGTCACGTTTATCTTAGAGGCGCTCCAGCAGCCACACACGCAGCCCAGGATGGACGGTGTGCGGGCTCCGGGCGGCTGGTGCCGGGGCAGGTGGGGGGCGGGGGGGGGTCACGGAAGGGAAAGAGCCTCCTGGCCAGGCGGCCGGCGGTCCCCACGGTCGGGGCAGCTGCGCAGCAGAGGAAAGGCCCCTGTCCTCCAAGCAGCGGCCAGGGGGGCCCCCAGAGCGAGCCAGGCAACGGGGGCCCCGCCTGCGCCCCCAGCCTCCCGCCGGCGCCCCCATCCCCGTCCGCTGGGCCCCCAGCCCCCGCCCACGCCCCGCACCCCCGCCCGCGCCCCCATCCCCGTCCGCGGGGCCCCCAGCCCCCGCCCGCGCCCCGCACCCCCGCCAGCGCCCCCAGCCCGGTCCACGGGGCCCCCGGGCCGCTCCGCCCTCAGCCCGTCACTGGCTCACAAACCCGAGTGTCCAGTGACCCTGCTGTCTTCGTCCTTGGCTCCTGCTGTATTTTTATTGCTTTTAGTGAAGCACGACTTGCGCGCAGTAACGTTTGCACGTTTTCAGTGTCCAGGTTGACGACGACTTTCAGCTTCCCCCGGGGTGACCCTGACCCGCACCCTCCAGATAAACACCACATGCGTCTCCCAAGAGAGCTGCCGCCTGCCCCCTTCCAGTCAGAGCCCCACCCCTGCACTCCCCTCGCCCAGTCATCCACTCACCTGCTTCTGGTCACTGTGATTAGATTTGCCTCTTCTGGAATCGATTTACCTTTCTCGGAAGGGCACCGTGGCCCCCTGGTTGGGGTCAGAGGCCGTTCTCTCCCGCCGCCGCCCTGCCTTCTCCAGTCCTACAGAGCACCCGCATGCATCTACTGACACGCAGGGGTGTGTTGCTGCGGTCTACTCGAAGAGAGTCCTGCACAGGGGCCCGGGGAGAGGTGGGTGGGGCAGTGGGGGTCTCAGGTGTGTCCTCGGCCTCCTCAACGGTGAGACAGAAGGCAGATCAGTGGGTGACCAGGGCCTTGGGGCCTCAGGGCCTGATTCTCCTGAGTCTGGGCCTTTGGCGACTGAGTGTAGCCCAGAGCTGGAGAGCTGGCCTGTCCCCAACCTGCACCAGGGCCCCGGCCCCACCCGGTGCTCCTTAGCCCTCCTCCCCGACTGTCTGCCGATGGTACCCTTGGCCGCTCACACCCGGGGCAAGGCGGTTCTCACGCGGGGCCCAAGCTTCCTTCCCCGAGAGCCCATTGGCTGAGGGTGCATGGGGCGGGGGGGATGCCCACAGGACACCCCCGGCTCCCCAGGGCGCAGCGGCAAAGCCATCAGCCTCAGGCAGGACTGGACATCCCTGTGGCACAGGACGTGGCAGGTCTGCCCTCGGTCCAGCCCCAGGACAGTGCAAAGGACCCACGGGGACCCCAGCAGAGGCAACAGGGGTGGGGGTGGGCAGGAGGTCCCAGCCCAACATAGCGGCGAGCTCGGACGCGGGCTGAGGACCCTGTGTGAGGGGGCCCTGCGGGGCCATGGGACCAGCAGCCACGTGGCCCGGGCTTCCTTACTGTCACTGTGAGCCTCTGCAGTAACGTCACCATCGTACGAGCTGGTCCCAAGGTGTGCCAGGTTCTCCAGCTTTCTACGTGCTCTGTCTTCTCATTACATGGTCTCACTTAACCCTCACCGTGATCCTTTGGTATTTCATAAATGAGGAAACCGAGGCACAGATGGGATGTGCCCAGGGTCACAGCCTAGGGGGTGCCCTAGCACAGCAGTCACAGAGCTGGGAGCCCAGCTGCCGTCTGCCTGTGAAGCCCAAGCTCTTAGCCCAGGTGAGGCCTGGGGCCGCAGGTGGCCTGGGAACGGGTGCCGCCGTCACTCCCTCCCACTCTCATCCGCCGCCCCCCCCCCGCCTCTCCTCTGAAACACAGGTGCCCCTCACCAACCTGGACTCCTACCCTCTGTCCCGAAGCCCATCCCCACGTGTTCCTCCGGGGGCCCCTGCCTCAGTTTCCCCTATGCATCTCTGCACTGGATCGCTCCCCTTTATGTACAACTGGGCCCACGTCTCTCCGTCTGGAAGAAGTCCCTCCCTCCATTCTGGAAGCCTCTCACCCACCTCTCCTAGCAGACGCCTGCTTGCCTGCACTGCTCCTGTCCCGAGCAGCTCCGGACACAGAAGCCCAGCTCTCCTGGAGGATAGCTCATCCCCAGCCCACCTGCAGGTCCGGGAGGGAGCCAGTGTCCTGAGCCTGACCCAGTGGCAGTGCCAGGGCGCGGGGATGGCCCTGGGAATGGGCACATGGCCCACAGCAGGACATGGAGTTCTTCCTGGCTCTTGCTTAACCGGTGGAGGGTTCCTCCGGGATGACGAGGGTCACAGGATGCCGGCCCGAAGCCGGCATCTTGCCTCCCTGGTCCCCTCCCTCCGGCTCCTGCCTGACTCCCGGCAGGCGCTGTCCACGCTGCCTCTCCGCCCTCTCAGGCGCGTTCCAGGGCCTCCAAGTGCCCCCGCCCCATCTCCGTGCTGCTGGCTCAGAGCCCTGCCCCAGGCCCAGCCCTGAACGGGCAACTGCTCCACCTCCCCCCCACTTCACCCCTAGCCTGCTCAGGGACAGCTCCCCTCCGCCCCCATGCACAGGTCTGCACCAGAGCTGCCGGGCCTCCCGCGCCTGGACCTTCGCACCATCAGCGACCCCTCTGCAGCCCAGCCTCTGGCTTCCGGGAAGGGGACGGCCTCTAGGCCACGTAAAACAGAGAAGGTTTATTGGAAGGAAATTCAGTAGTTCGTACACCGGATGGAGAGGCTGGGAACAGCGATAGGCAGGGACCGGGTACGAGGGGCAGCGGAGCTACAGCCAAGACCACAGAACAGTCGAGCAGGAAGTGAGTCCTAAAGTCCTGGCATCCTGAGTTCCGGGTGGAGCGCCTGACAGCCCGCACCCTGAGCCCCGACCCCCCCGGGGCCGGAAGGGCCGGGGAGAGCGAGCCCTCCACCCGCAGGCCTCTCCACCGCCCCCACTCCTGCCTGGGCTCCGGACGATGCCGACCAGACAGCCCCACCTTCCCTCCACATCCCAACAGCTGCCCTGGCCCGCAGAGATCCTTTCCAGAATGGTCTCACATGTCTGGGTCCCTGGTGGCCCCCAGCCCGGCCCAGGAGTCATTGATGCTTCCTGGGAACAGCAGGAAAGGATGCTACAGTGGTGACATCAAGACTCCGGAACCGACGGCCTAGCTCCAGATTCCGGCTTCACCACCTATGAGCTGTGTGACCTCAGGGAAGTTATCAGCGTCTCTGTCTTTCAGTTTGCCCGTCTGTGAGGTCAGGACACTACAGTTACCCACCTCATATGGTGCTCCTAAAGATGACGCGCATTAACGTACGCGAGCTTCAAAGGAGCCCAGCACCCAGAAGGTTCTGTCCTGTGAGCTGACGTTATTCCCCGACACCTCACCCCTTCCCACACTGGAGTCTCTGGCCTCTGCCTTCCCTCGGCCTATGGCTGCCCAGCGGAATACAACCCACCTGGCTTGTCTCTGAGGCCCAGTCTGAACGTCCTTGGCCCACCTGAAACCAGCCTTCCAGAAGTAAGCGACTTCTCTAAAGGGCCCCCGCCGGGTCGTCTGTTCCACACGACTCCTCCTCGAAGACACGGGGACTCACACCCCGAGAGGAGCTTCTCCTGCGGGGCACACCCGCCTTGCACCTCCCGCACCTGACCTTAGCCAATCCCTCCTCCTCCGGACCCAGCTCCCCAGGACCCCTCAGCTCATGAAGGTGGCGATGCCAAGACCATGGTGGGGGGGTGAGGGAGGAGCTGGGGGGTAAGGGGCCTGGAGGGACAGACCCCCTACCCCCCAGGCCCTCCCTGGCACGCCCGCAGGTCCGGAAAGAGTGGCCTGTACCATCCCTCTGGGTATGGAACGGCCTTGCCCACGTTCTTCCTCGGGGAGCCCCCCGACGCGTGACCCTCAGGGCCCTGGGCGGCCGCGCTCCTGAGGGACGGGTGTTTGTGTCCCAGGGGCTCCCAACACACTTGGGGGGGAGGGGCTGGGAGAGGTTAAAGCGAGTTCTCGGGGTTCCACAGCCGGGGCGCGGGTCCAGCTCTCTTCTGCTCTGTCCCCGAGCGCAGGTCGTCACCCGGCCTCCGGGGCAGCGCCTTGCACGGTGCCCAACACACAAGCCGGCCTCTGTCAGTGTCCGGTGGCGCGGAGGTGAGCTGCAGCAGGACACCCAGCAGCTGCGGGGCCGCCAGGGCCCGGAGGGCCGCACCTCCTCAGCCTGTCCCACAAGCCCCCGGGCTCCCTTCTCGGACCCCTTCCCTCCCTGTCCCTCTCCTCCCACCCCCGCCCCGCGCCCTCTCCACCCCCTTCCGTCCACTTTCCTACATTCCCTCCATTTGCCCACAGCAAACCGGCACTTTGTGCCGAGGCCCTTCCTTCACTCCCAGGACGGGCGGCGGCAAAGTGCGGGAGGAACAAGGCAGCCCGGGCCGAGGCCGCACGCGGGTAGGGGCGCCGCGTGAGCTCTGCGCCGCCCCTTCCTGCCCTGCTCAGCGGGGGCCCCGTTCTTGCCTTCGCCTACCTCACAACGTGGGGAAGTCTATAAAGATGAAATAGCACGTGATAAAACACGCAGCTGCACACAGTGGAAGATCATAAAACGCGACACAATTGTAAGGGGTTCCGAGGTGGCCGCAACGTGGGCATTAAACCGCAGCCTCACATTCACCATAAGCCCGGAGCTGGGGGCGGGCCCGAGGCCGCAGATGCGGAAAAGCTCCCCTCTGCGCTTCCCCGGCTTTTCTGCGCAGATCCCCGGTCCTCCTATAATCAGAAAAGAAGTCGCATAAAAGGAGTACTTTCGATATAAAGGTCTCTAAAGTCCTGCCCTCACAGCGACCACGTCACGGCGCAGGCTCCCAGCCGGGGGGTGGACAGGAGGTTGACGGCAGCCGAGAGGGCGACGCTCTCTCCTCCCGCCTGCAAGGGCTGGTCCGCGCCCGGGGGCCTGAGGCTGGGGGGCTGGGGGCAGGGATTTCCCCCCACCCCGCACCGACCAGGTTCCGGGCCACGGACGGGGGGCCCGCAGGAGCAGCCCAGAGGGTCTGGGCTTCACGCAGGATGGAAATCAAACTTGAGCCGAGAGGAAGTGAGAACAGAGTTCGTTAAGACAGAGAGAGCGGACAGGAAGAGAGCATCTCGGAGAGTCGGACAGGAGTGAGTCCCACCTTCGCTTGGGGCCCGGGTGTTCATCGAGGACGGTGGCCCGGAGCTCGTGTCTTCCCGGGCAGCCAGGAGCAGAGGCCCCGAGCCTGGGGTCTTGGTGAGTCGGTGGTCTTGGAAAACGTCATGGTGAGCCTGGCCGTCACTCCCTAGGCGCGGTCTGCTGCGCTGGAAGAAGTCATTAACCCCTTGACCTTCACAGGAGGACAGGCACTGCTCTGGGAGGCACCTGAGGTGTGTGCGGTGGGGGGTCCTAGCCCCATATCCAGCCTGCCCTCCTTCCCTGCCTAGAGACCAAGGCTCCCCACCCTCCTGAGCTCCAGGCCCTCACCTCCAGCTGCCCTCTGGACCCACCCCTGGGCGTCCAGAGCAGCGCTGGCCACCGTTGGGTGCTCACCTCTCCCAGACTAACAGGTCTCTCCTGGGAGCAAAGCAGGTGCCACGTGGGGGAGACGGGCCCCGACCCGGACAGAGCGGCCCCTTCTCCTTCTTCAAAGATGCAGGTGCAGCTGCAGACACGGAGCCACTTCTTCCCCCTGAGAGTAATCGGTCTAGGAAGTTGCTAGAAAAGATTTTCTTACCAGATTAGAAGAGACCTTTAAAAGGAGCTGACCTCTCACCCCCACCCCTTCTTCCTGTGGCTGCCACGGCGGACACGTAGCTCTGTGGCCAGAGGCCACCATCGTGTGACCAGGGTGGTGAGGGCAGCAGAGTGGACAAGCAGAGGGCACTGGCTTCGTGACCCCACGGAGGAGGGGCCGTCTTGTTTCCAGAGCGCTCTGTCCTGGAGGAAACGTAAAACCTCCTGCTCAAACCGGTACTTGGCTTACCCCCCCCTCCAGGCCCCGTCCTGTCCTGCACCCCCTATGGGGAAGTGGCGTTTCTGCCCACACAGCCACCTGACTCCTCCCTGCCTCAGGCCTGTGGCTTGGCTGTCCCCTGGCCCTGCACACGGAGCCCCCTCCTTGACCCACAGTCTAAAATACAAACCTTGTGTGCTCTGCTCAAGTGCCCACGAGCTACAGAACGATGTCAAAATCCCAAGCCTGGACTCAAGGGCCTTGGCGACGTGACCCCCAAACCTCCTTCTGCGCTCACCCCGTGCCACGCCCCCAGACCCATCCAGTACCTGCAGCCCCCCCAGAGTGCTCCCGCACAGCCTCCCCTCTCCCTCCTCTCTGAATGTACCTACGCACCATCCAAAACCCATTTCAAACGTCTCCTCCTCTGTGAAGCCCTCCTCACCCCAAGCAAACGTTCCTTCCTCTGTGAGCCCACAGCCTGTGGCTTCTCTTATGCCTGTTATCATTCTTATCTCATATCCTAATTACATATTTGCCAGGAGACTAGATTACTTTAGGGCAAGGATATGTCCCCAGTGCCTCCCAGGACAGTGTCTGATGGGAGTGATTAGTCAATTTTTGGTGTTAGAGGCAGCCGCACAAAACACCTTCTGGTGTTTCTGCTTTCTGTGCAGCCCCTTAGTCCTTAGCACTGCCTGCCCGGCCCCGCCATCCCGCCCAGCCTCCTCTTCTCTGAGGGGTCTCCCAGGGGGAGAATTCCACCTGCCCCCCCTCTCGAGCTGGAAAATCCCCAGGGGGACAGACCCAGTAGGTTCTGGCCGCCATGACCCTCAGCAAGAGGCCTGGACCAGTGGTCAAAAGAATCTGGCTTCCGTGTGGCAATATCAAAATTCTCCAAAATGGGGGCGCCTGGGTGGCTTAGTCGGTTAAGCGTCCGACTTTCGCTTAGGTCATGATCTCGCGGTTCGTGGGTTCGAGCCCCGCGTCGGGCTCTGTGCTGACTGCCAGCTCAGAGCCTGGAGCCTGTTTCAGTCTGTGACTCCCTCTCTCTCTGACCCTCCCCTGCTCACGCTGTCTCTCTCTCTGTCTCCTAGAAATAAATAAAAAACATTAAAAAAAATTTTTTTAAAAAATTCTCCAAAATGTAAGAAAGCAGATGTCGAGTTCGTCTACAGTGTGAGCTCCGTGGGAGCAGGGCCCTCGCCTACTGCCCGGCACTAAGCCCCCGGCCCTAATCAGCCCCGGCCACTGTGGGCGCTCCGTAAATGCTTGCTGAGTGAAAGTCAAGGTCAGGGTTATCCGTAAGTTCTAAGAAGCAACCAACTGTGCTTAGCAAATGAGGAGCGCTTGAGGGGGTGTGTGTGGATGCTTTTATTTATTTCTACCCAGACCCAGCTTCTTTACAGTGGCCAACTCTGAGAGACACGCACTTATGCTGCCATTAAAAACGTTGTTTACAAAGAGTGTACAGCATGGAAGTTAAAAGGGAAGAAAGAAGCACACAATAGAAATGAGTCATATTTAGCACACTATCTGAGGCAAGCAAACAGAATCTCAAGCAGGGAAGGGGCACAGGTGTCAGCCGTGGCTGGCGGTCACCGGCCCCTTTACACTCCTGTCCTCGGTTTTCCAGCTTTTGAAAAACGTGCTCACATCACTAATAAGGTGGGAAACATACACTTTCTTTTTCAAAAGAACACAGAGCGGGCAGGGCAGGTGCCCAGGACTCACCAGCAGTCCCCTCCGCCTCACCTGCTGCCCAGAGGCTGGGCGGTGACAGTGCCCCAGGACACTGGCTCTGGGCGGCCCCGCCTCCAACCACAGGGCCCTGGGCCAGGGCGTGGCCGTCAGGTGGCTCTGCTTCCAGACCAGAACCGGCGCTGGCAGGACGGCCGCGCCCCACCCCCGCAGGTGGGCAGCACCCCTCCCCAGAGGCCGGCCTCTCCGAGGGCACCTGGAAGACTAATCTTCTCGCTCAGGAATTCCCAGAAAGGACTCACCAGGGGAATTTCCCAGACAGGCAGACAGACAGACAGACAGACACCTCAGACAGCTCCCGCCACTGAGCACAGATGTTTGCCCGGGGGTGGCGGTGCTGAGAGCCAACAGGCGCACAGCTCAGCCGAGAGGGGTACTGCGCGGAGAGCCCCCCACCCCCGGGCTGGCGGGGGCGGGGGCGGGGAGCGGAAGTGCCAGGTGCGGTCTGCGTCTGGATCGCACGGTGCCTGCAGCCCTCCTCTCGGTCCAGCAGGCGTCGCCGCGGCTCTAGGGGTGGCGGGGTGGGCGAGGGGCGACGGCGCTGAGGCTGCAGCCCGGGCCGCAGCACCTACCACAAACTAGCCAGCTTGTGGGAACGGTGGTGGCTCGTCTGTCTCCCCCACTGGCCCCGGGGCTTCCCGAGGGCAGGGGCTCTTAGACCCACCCTCGCCCCCGGTGCCCTGAGGTGCCCACCAGGTCTGACAAGCGACCCCGACGCACAATACGTGGATCGACAGTGCGGGGGCCGCAGCCTGGAGTGGGAGTCCTGGGGACGGCGCCCAGCCGGGAAGGCCCCTCGCCCCTCTCGCCCCCGCCCCCGACGCGGGCAGAGCGCGATCGGACGTGGCCCCGCCGGGCCGGCTGAGCGCGCCCGAACCTGCCCGGCCGGGCGGCGCAGCGCAAGGACCCCACACGTTCCCGGCCCGGGCAACCCCTGCGCCGCCGTCTCTGCAGCGCCACCCCCACCCCAGCCCCCCGGGGCTGCTTCTCAGCAGGGAGCCCGCAGAAGCGCCGCACCTCCCCGTGGCGGCGTCCGCCTTCCCGCCGCGCGCACCTAGTGACCTTCCTCCGCGCGTGCCGGTGCCCGGCCAGGCGCGGGCGACGCCACGGGGGCCGGCAAGAGCCCGCGCTCGCGGAGCTGCGGTGCTCGGGGCCACGGGAGGAGGGGCCGGCTGGTCTCGCCGGGGCCACGCGGAGGCCCACGCCCAGGTGTCCTCCCCGGTGAGCCAAGCGCACGGGAGGCGCCGCCCTGGGGCGAGTGGACTTCGGCCCCGCGGGGACGGCGCGCGCTGCACGTCTGCAGCCGCGGGGCTGGGCCGCCGCCGGGGCCGGGGCCGGGGCCGGGCAGGGGGGGCGGGCGGGGCGGACGCGGAGCCACGCGGCTGCGCTCGCGAAGTGTTTACGGTCCGCGCGGAAGGTCTCGCCTCCGCCGCCCTCGGGGCGGGGGGTAGGAGGGGCGGGCCCCGGCTCTCCCCGCCCCAGGCTCCTCCCCGGCGGGGCCAGAGCGGGACTGGCCGCTGCGTCCCGGCCCGCGGCCCCGCGTAATTACAGGCGCTGTCGCCAGGCCCGGCCGTAAAAGAGGAGCCTGAAACGGCTGGGAACCAGGGAGCTGGGCCGAGCCGGCCGGGAGCCCGGGATCTGCGGCTTCCCGCGGTGTGCAGCGGCCGGGAAGGGCCGGCCGGGGAGGCGCACACAGTCCCGTAGTCACACGCGGGAGCCACCACACGCGCGCGGGCACGAAGCTTCGGGCCCCCCGCCCCAGATGCACACGCGAGCCTCAGCAAACACCTGCCCGCCCTGGCGCCAGCCCTTCTCCGGACGGCGGCAGCTCCCGGCGCGGAGAAGGGCCCCGGGGGGCCGAGTCCGGCGGGGGCCAGAGCCGGGCGAGGGGGAGGGGCCCGCCGTGCAAGCCCCCGCCCCTCCCCACAGGCCCCCTCTCTTCACACGCCGTTCACTAACATTTGCGCACGCTCGCCGGAGCTGCACACGCGGTTGTGGAACTGCCCACAAATGCCTTCACACCCGCGCGCCATCACACGTATTTACGCGTGCCAGATGCACACGTGTGCTGCAGTTTGTCACACCTCGGGAATGCCCAGATTCTCACAGTCCATATTCAAAGCCCGTTCGTACGGTACACACGTGTGTTGGCGCACACGCGCGCGCGCGCACTCCCGAACATGTCACTAGTGCCCTTTGGCCAACTAGAAACAAGAAAGAATCCCTCCCCCGGGACGCAGGAGCCCGCGCGTCCCTCCTTCTCACTGGCAGAGATGGGCAGAGGCGCCCTTAGCCCAGCCGCGCACGTTACACACTCGATCACACAGGGTCGCACTTTATTCCCGGCATCTAAGCGATGACACCATCGCCCGAACAAAGACAACATTGACAAACCCAACAAAAACAAACAGCCGCGTGTGTGGGGAGGAGCCGCAGGGCGCAGGGTCCGGGAAAGGCAGGCGGGAGAGGAGAGGGAACGCGGGCGCCCCAGCCGGGGTCTGCGGGCTCGGCAAAGGTGGGGGCCCTGTCGAAGACGCCGCACCCCTGCGCCCAGCAAGATCGGCGCGCCGCGCGTACACCCGGGTCCCGCGCCGCGCGTTCGCGGTCCGGCACGTGCAGTCGGATCCCGTCTCCCCACGCCGCTGAGCGCCCGGCACAGGCCCGCGGGGCCGCACGCACACCCGCAGGCGAGCGGCCTCGCAGCGCCCGGGACCTTCGTCACGGCGAAGGCGCGAGTCCCGCTCTGCTCCCCTGCCCCCCCTCCTCCACCCCCAGCCCCCCAGCCCCGCGGCAGCCGCGCGCCGGGCGGGGCGGGGGCGGGGGCGGGGCGGCGGGCGGCGCCGGCTCAAAAGGCGGAGTCGCGGGGCGCAGGGGCCAGAGCCATACGCGGTGCGGACTGTGCCGACGAGAGAGCCTGCGGGAACCCGGACCCCGAGGAGCCCCTCGTCCTCGCCCGGCCTGGCCCGGCCCTGCGCTATGGAGTCCCTCTGGGTCCCGCTCTTGGGCCTGTGCTGCAGTCTGGCCGCTGCTGACCGCCACACCGTCTTCTGGAACAGTTCAAACCCCAAGTAAGCCCAGAGTCTCCGGCCCGCAGTCCGGGCGCCCGGCTGGCACTGCCCCCCACCCCCACCCCGGCCTGGTTAACTGGCCCGGCCGGCCCCTGACCTGAGTCTTGGGGCCGTGGCCAGGGGCGGGAGGGAATCCCTTGGACTTTCTTCCCCTGCGTCTCCCCCAGAACTGGGACATAACTGAGGGTCCCCCCAGGAGCCTGCCCGCCGGTTGCTTGCACTGGGTTGCCTCTGCCCTTCCTTCCCAGCCCTCTGCCCGGCGTTAGCTCTGAAGCGAGGGACTCTTCCTGAACAGTTCCAGCCTGGAGCGTGGCCCACCCTCCCTGGCCGCCAGGACTCGTATTCTAGGCCCTTCCACCACAAACACCTCCGTGCCTCCTGTGTGTCACTTGGCTGTCTGCCCACACAGATAGGTGCCTGATGTGACATCGGGAGTAAGCGGAATGCTCACTCTAATCCCGCAAGGACCCCTCAGGAGGGGCCTGGCCTTCAGGCTGCAGGCTTGTGCATTCTGTATTGAGGATGAGCCTGGAAAGCTCCCCTCCACCCGCAAGGGATCCTTTGAGGCGGCAGGAGTGCAGCGCAAGCCATGTGTAGCAGGCTGAGGGAGTCACCTGTTTATGAGATTCAGAGATGGGGGGAGGGAGTTCATGGGAAAGGTTCAGAAGGAGTGGAAGGGGTTAAAAGGGTTACTTAGGGCTCTGGGCAGGAAGGCGTTAATTCATCCTGGGCACGTTTAGGGCTGGGAGGCAAGTGGCACTGGAGGGAGAAGCCCCGTTGGACCCTTTGTTCTTGCCCTTGAGTTTTCTGAAGTTATGGGGACGGTATTTGTGGGAAAGCCGAAGAGGGGGTAGGGGCGGAGCAGGGAGAGCAGGGCCGGGCAGCCCGGGGTCAGGATAAACACTCAGCGAGGCCGCCCCCAGCCCGGCAAGCCTGCCCCCACTCCCCTTGAGAAGTACCTGTGCCAGCTTCCTCTGACCCTGCGCAGTGCTGCCTGGTAGGGGGTCTGTAGGCTGCGGTGTGGCCGGGGAGGGAACAGCCAGCTCCCGCCAAGCCCAGGAGGCAATGCCCTCCTGCCCTTCGGCATCAGGGGCAGCCCTGTGAGCCCCCCCCGGCCCCCCCACTGTGCTCCTGCTCCCACCTGCCTGGTCTGTGCTTCCTCGACCCAGTCTCGTCCTAGTGGGAGTGCAAAGTCCCTGTTTATGCCCATGCCAGGTGCTGGCTGGAGGAGGAGGAGGGGACAGGAAGCATGAGTAGGGAGGGGGGGACCCTGGCCTTTTCCGTTCCCAAGCTCCCAGGTTTCCTCTCTTTCAGGAAGGAGCCTCTTCCTTGCCCCCCCCCCCCGCCTTCCCTGACGCCGTTTGCCCCCCTTTCCCAGACGGAGAGCCAGAGTCACAGGAGCGCTAAGTGGAACAGAGCGCACCCCCAGGAGGGTGTGATGGGTGCCCCCACCAAGCACAGCTTCTGCCCTGTCCGTCTGGCCACACACACGCACACACACCCTCCCGTACCCAGAGCTAAAGAGAACCTAGCCGGAGTTTGCAGGGGCCCAGCTCGCAGGCACAGACGGAGTGGCCCTGAGCTGGGTGGGTGTGGGGCTGCACGGGTGACGCAGGGCGGCGGTCTCCAGGCCCCAGGCGGGAGGGCAGCGTGGGGAGGAGGGTGGGGCTGCCGGGGGCTGGAGGGCTCGGCCGGGGCCCCCAACCCAGGCCTGGAGGACCGTGCCCTGGGGCAAGCCCTGGCCCTGAGGCCCCGGGGGCCTCTGACCAGGTAGATTTTCACAGCTTCTCCCAGCGCCGGGCGGGTGGCAGAGGTGGCTGAGGAGTGAGTCAGTGCCCGTCACGGGAACGGGGGAAAGACGCCAGGCCCAGAGCTGAAATACCTGTTCTGAAATGGCTTCTATGTTTATCTCCCCAGAGAGGAATTTTAAAAGCCTCTCCCTCACTCGCGCTCTCCTCCCCCACCCCTCCTCCTCCTCCCCAGTGGGGGAGGGGCCCGGGTGCTCACCGTCCCCCCCGGCCGGGCCGCCCAGGGAGCCGGCCGACCTGCCAGGGGGTGCCCCCCACCCCCACCCCCGCTCGGCCGGGCTCCTGCCCCTCCCCCACCCGTGCCGGGGCCCGGGTTTGAAGCGAGTTGGCGGCCCGCCGCGCTGGGGGAATCCGGAGGGGCTGACCGGCTGGGGGGGCGGCGGGAGGCCGCGGGGCCCCCGGGAGGGCGCTCCAGCAGTTCCGGAGCGCCTGGCCCGGAGGTGCGAGCCCCGCTGGAGACGGACGGGGAGGTCGGGCGAGCTTTGGGACGGGCGGGCGAGGAGGCGCTGGAGCGGCGGACCTGGGCGTGTGTGCCGGCCTGCTGCGCGGGGGCGGAAGTGAAGCTGCCAGTGTGGACGCGCCCCGGGGCAGCGGCGAGGGCGCGGGAAGTCCCGCCGCCGCGGGTGCCCTGAGGGCTGAGCGCGGCTCCCGCAAGGGAAGGGGCTCCCGGGCCCTGATGGGAGGGAGGGCGCCGCACGGGGCTGTGGGCGTTGAAGGAGGAACTGGGAGAACAGATCTGTCAGCTAAGGACACACTCAAAAGCCCTTCCGTGGCAAATCTTGGGGGGATTCAGGAAGTGGTTGGGCCCCTGAAAGATGCCGGGTGGATGCAGTTTAGAGCGTGGACGCAGTGAGGGGGTGGCACATTTGAAGATGGGGAGAAGAAACTGAAGAGGTCAAGATCAGTAAATACTGGGAGTTGAGATTGTTGAAAAACCACCGCGGGCGTCCGGTGTGAACCGGGAGGAGCCGGGCAGAGCCTCCCAGGCTCACAGCTCTGGCCTGGCTTCCTCCCGCTCCACTCGAGCAGGTTACAGACTGAGGACTACACAGTACACGTCCGGCTCAACGACTACCTGGACATCATCTGCCCACACTACGAGGACAACACTGTGGCCGCCGCCGCCATGGAGCGCTACACCCTGTACCTGGTGGAGCGTGAGCAGTACCAGCTGTGCCAGCCTCAGCCCCAGGACCGGGTCCGCTGGCAGTGCAGCCAGCCAAGCGCCAGGCACGGCCCGGAGAAGCTGTCCGAAAAGTTCCTGCGCTTCACAGCCTTCCCCCTGGGCAAGGACTTCCAAGAGGGACACAGCTACTACTACATCTGTGAGTCCCCAGGGTGTGCGCGCGCAGGCCACACAGGGACACAGCCCGTGTGATGCACAGGCTCGGTGCGAAGCTGCACACGGCCCCTTCCCATCCTGAATCATTTTCATCCGTTCACATTACGTACGTGGAATGAGCCTCTAGTGCATGCCGGGCACTCTGCCTGACACCACAGGCACAGAGATCAGTAAAACACCACAGGGTCCCTATCGCCCAGGAAGCTGGGAAGCGACACACGTAGGTGAACTGACCAAGAGAACAGTGTGATATGAAGATACGGGCACAGGGGCCTTGGGAAACTGACCCGGGTACCTGCGCGGCTCAGGACACTCAGAGAAGGGTTCTGGGGGACATGACTCAAGAGCTTAGGACAAGCAGAGGAGGTGGCCGGGCACGAGGGGACATGTGTAGCAGGAGGAGGACGCCTTCAGGGAACTCCACATGGCTCGGTCTGGCTGAAGCAGGAGGGATGCTGCCGGGGGGGGGGGGGGGGGGGGGAGCTCGGGGAGGTGGACGGGAGCGCACCCCACGGCAGCCCCTGAGGCGTGAAGGGGTTTGGACTCGGTGCTGAGGGCCATGGAGAGGCCCCTGGTGGACTCAGGAGTCAGAAAGTCAGCTGCGTGTAGAATAGAATGGATCCAGGCCTCACCTCGTCACTGGGGCCTGAGCAGGGAGACTCTCAGGTAGGGGGTGTATTGTGAAGGCCTCAGCCAACCTCAGCCTGGGAGCAGTGAGGGAGGGGCCGTGGCTAGAGGTCTGTGCTGTTTTTAGCACCGCCTCCAAAGCCAAGGGTCATTCCAAAGAATGGGAGGTTGAGCAGGAAGCCGAAAGCAGGCAAACAAGAAAGGAGGTGAGAATGCAGGGGTGGGCAGAGGGGCCTGAGTGAGCCGGAGAAGTTTGCACTTGGGTTTTCTTCCAACAGAGGTTCCTCCCTTAACACCCTGTGGGTTTCTCTTGCAGCCAAACCCATCCACCACCAGGAAGGCCCGTGCTTGAGGCTGAAGGTGACGGTCAGTGGCAAAATCAGTGAGTGTCAGAGCCCTGCGGGCCTCCTTCCCCCACCTCTTTGCTGGTCTTGGGCTAGCAAGCCGGGATGGCAGAGAAGCTGACTCCCTGCCACCGCACCTGACCCACCACCACCCTTGCCTTGCAGCTCACAGTCCTCAGGCCCACGCCAACCCACAGGAGAAGAGACTTCCAGCAGGTGGGCAGCCAGAGCACATGGGGCCCGGGGCACAGAAGGGGGGCAGCTTAAAGAGGTTGGGTAAGGGCGGTGGCTTCCTTGCCACCAGGGGCCGGGGAAACCGTGTTGGGCTGAGGGCCAGCGGCAGGGCCACTCACCTTGGCGGCTTCTGCCCTCTCGTCTTGCAGATGACCCAGAGGTACGGGTCCTCCACAGCATCGGGCACAGCACCGCCCCCCGCCCCTTCCCACTGGCCTGGGCCGTGCTGCTTCTGCCGCTCCTGCTGCTGCAGATCCCATGAGGGCGCGGGCCACACCCGGCCTACGGATTTAGAACTGGGCTGCGCAGGCAGGGCAGGCACGGTAGCCTGGCCTGCGACCCCTGCCACAGCCCCAGGCCTCCTGGGGACCGTTCCCAGCACATGCACAAGCTGCCACCCGGCAGCCTCAAAACGGGTATTAAGAGTTTCAACCCAAAAGAGGTCGGCAAGCCTGGCAGGGCCATCCCTGCCTCCACCTCGAGGGACGGACAGACGAGCGGGGACAGCCCTTCCCCCACCGCTTCTGCCCTGAAGCCAAAGAAACAAGCTGTGCCAGACGTGGCCTCCTAAGAAGGGCCCTGGGGGGGCCAAGGTGGAAGGAGCCTGGGGTCATACAGGTGGACACTGAGCTTGGCAAGGAGAGCGAGGCAGGGTGCGCAGAGGCGCCGGCTGCGGGAAGAGCAGGAGGCAGCTTCGTGCCTGGCAGCCGGAGGGGGAGAGGCAGCGAGCTTGGGCTGACCCCACATCTCCCCCAAGACTTCCGGAAGGCTTGGGAGCTGCCGCGGAGAGGGCCGCAGCCGGGCACTGTGGCCGCTCCCATCTGAGGGCAGCACTCCGCAGAGCTGTGCCAGCAGGGGGGCTGTGCCAACCTGTGTCTAGAGTTTAGGTGTAGGGGCAGGGCCCACGTGGACAGGATCTGTATATAAACTTGTGTGTCTGTGTCAATTTCTACAACTGGACCTTTTTTATACAAAAAAATAAAACGACATGTTTATTTGGACAAACTTGTCTGTTCCTCGATCCTGACGCAGGATCCCAAGTCCCCGCCACGGGCTAGGTTCTGTGAGACACCAGCAGCAACCGGGTTTAAGTGTTTTCCTCCTCTCTGGAAAGTATACACGCCCGTCACCAGCACCAGAGGGTGGGGTGCTTCCCCCTCTGAGGATTGTCCGGGGCTCCAGGCTGCACCCCACTCTGTAACTTCTTCCTGTCCCCCTTCCCCTTCCCATCCCGAGACCCTGGACTTTGGCGAACCTGGAGCCCTGCAGCCCTGCGGGTGCGGGTGAGTGCTGGGGAGGGGGGACGCGGCCGGGTCGCATGGCCCCAGCAGCGGGGCGTGGGAGCCGCAGGGAAAGTTCCCTGTGGGCTGGACAGGGGTCAATGACTGGTGCTCCGGCGGGTGGGCCACGTCACGCAAGGTTGGACGAGTGTCTGAAGGCAGAGGGCACCTGACAGACCTGTGATTCCTGACAGGCCCACCCATGAAGGGGGGACCCCAGGAAGGGGCTTCAACAAAGGGGGGGAACCTCTCAAGCCCGGGGCAGGTGCAGGTGTGACCCGGAGCTCCGGCGCGGGAAGGGACCAGAAGCTTTGTCTTGAGCTTGGCCACGTCGGCAAAAGGGTGTAGGCTGAGGTCCGGGCGGGCCGAGGGGAAGGCCGAGCGCGACCGGCGGGGGCCGGGACCCGCCGGGACCCGGGGGCAGCTTCCGAGCAGGCCTCGCGGGCCGCGGGCCAGCAGGGGCGGGCTCTGAGCCTCGGGAGTCCCGGCCCAGTTCCGGCGCGCCGCTCGGGTGGGCGGGGCTGAGGGCCCATTTCCGGCGCACGGCGACGCGCGGGGGCGGGGCTCCGGCGGCGCGGGCTCCGGGCGCAGCTAGTTGACGCCCGCGCCGGGCTGGAGATCCGACCCGGGGGGAGATGGAGGCGGGCGGCGTGGCCGACTCGCTCCTTTCCGGAGCTTGCGTGCTCTTCACCCTCGTCATGTTCTCCACCGGCCTGTGAGAACGCGGCCGGGCTAGGCTGGGGCAGGACCTGGAAGCCAGGAAGGGACAGAGAGGGGACAGAGACGTGGCTGCAGCCCCATGCTGCGTCCGAAACCTGGGTCAAAGTGGATTCGGGTCGAGGGATGCGGGGCCCAAGGGCGAGGCTGGGCACTTGAGGGAGAATCCAGAGAGCCGAGGGCGGGACCGGGACCTACCGTGGTCCGGGGACGACGGTATCGGGGATCTCGACTCCCCAGCAGCTGCTCCTCCCTTCCCACCGCTCACCCCTGCTTTCGGGGCCCCGTTACAGCTCGGACCTCAGGCACATGCGGATGACCCGGAGCGTGGACAGTGTCCAGTTCCTGCCCTTTCTCACCACGGACATCAAGTGAGAGGGGCGACGTTTGCGGCGGGAAAGGCTGTCTGGGGGATGGGGGGAGGGGGAGGAGGAAGGTTGAAGGGGCCCCTGGGGTCCCCCTCCCATCCTCGCCCCCGTGGGGAATGGTCCTCCTGTCCACCCTGCAGCAACCTGAGCTGGCTGAGTTACGGGGCCTTGAAGGGTGACGGGACCCTAATCTTCGTCAACGCCACGGGCGCTGTGCTTCAGACCCTGTATATCTCGGTGTATCTGCACTACTGCCCTCGGAAGGTAGAGGCCCTCCCTTGGACCCGCCTCTGTGCCGCACACCCTGCCTCGCTGGCAGGGTAAACACTGCTTCCTAGATTATGACGGGCTGGCACTGCCGCCTTTTCCTGGAAGGCCCCTCCAGGCTTAAAGTCCTCGCACCATGAAGCCAGCCTGAGACTCACACACTGAGCGCCCCTCCCCTGCGCCCGACACACTGAGGGGAAGGGGCTTTTATTTCTGATGGTTCCTCCAGAGCCCGGGCCGGGGGCTGAGAAGTGGGCAGCAGCCGGCATTAAGTTCCCACTGTGTGTACCAAGTTCACACACACACACGATACCTTCTCCTATGGAAACCACTAGTGTTGTGGGCGGGTGAGACGGGTGTTGGGCACCGGTGGGAAAGGGGCCGTGACAAGTGCCAGGCTGGAGGCCTGGACGAAGGCTGGGTCCCCACGGGAGCGTGGCAGAGAGCGGGATGGGTTAATCCCAGCAGGGGAGGCAGAGAGGGCTCCTGAACCCCTAGGAGTGTGGCTGCTCTCTCCCCTGCAGCGGCCCGTGCTCCTTCAGACCGCAGCCCTGCTGGGGGTCCTTGTCCTGGGTTTCGGCTACTTTTGGCTCCTGGTGCCCAACCCGGAGGCCCGGCTCCAGCAGCTGGGCCTCTTCTGCAGCACCTTCACCATCAGTATGTACCTGTCACCACTGGCCGACTTGGTGAGTGGGGGCTGTCCGGGGAAGTGGGGGACATAAGACGGTAGCTTACACTCCAAAGGGAAGACCCAAACCCTGAAGACAGGGCAGGTGAGTGGGAGGCGGGAGGGAGCGTTTGGGTAACGAAGATCAGAGGATGTCTGACCTTCTTCCTGAGGAAATTCTTAGACAAGTGGGAGCTTTACTAGGTGCCTAAGATAGGAGCGTCTTTCCATCTCTTTCCGCAGGCCAAGGTCATTCAGACTAAATCAACCCAACGTCTCTCCTTCTCACTCACCATTGCCACCCTCCTCACCTCCACCTCCTGGACCCTCTATGGGTTTCAGCTACGCGACCCCTACATCATGGTAAGCAAAACAGAGAGGGCCGGGTGACAAGCGCAGCAGGGAGAAAATCGGCTCCTGTCCTCACAGCGACCCTTGTGATCTCAGGCGCCCAACATTCCAGGAATCCTCACCAGCTTCATTCGCCTCTGGCTTTTCTGGAAGTACTCCCAGGAGCCAGACAGGACCTATCCGCTCCTGCAAACCTGAGGCAGTTCACCTGACCCCTGGGCACCTTGATGCCAGCTTGCTGCCAAAGACCGTTCCTTGTCTCAGCTGCTTCTGCTGAGCAGCTCCGTGAGTGCAGGGGGTTGTGGGAAAGAAAAAGACAACTTTGAGAATCGAGGGGCCAAAGAAAGCATTCTGCTTGGAAAACTGGCTGGGACTTGGGAGATGGATCACTTATTTTTTATAGATCATATTTTTTTTAATTGTGGAGGCTGGGGTGCAATCTTCAGAATGTGCCTTAAAATAAATTGTTCGCTACCCGCCCTCCCCTCCCCATCAAAGCCGGGTCTCTGTCTGGTGATTCTCAACCTGCCTGGTCGGTGAAGGGTAGAGACGCAGTGCCTGATGCACAGTTGTTCCCGGGGCTGATCGGGTTGGCTCAGAACAGGTATTTGAAGGAAACACGAAGTTGGAAAGGCCTAGGAAGCCCTTCAGAGAACACAGCTTGGATGCGATGAAGACGGAAGCCAGACTTCTGGAAGTACTTCCTGACATGGTAAAGAAGGTTAAAAAGACCATGAGAGTGAAATGACTTGTCCGTCGGGAGAGATCTTGAAAGGTCTTTGCCTCCTTTGGAGCAAAACGGAGGCCCACAAGCAAGGATGCAAAGAGGAGGCTGAGATGACCTCGGGACCGTGGCTCGCCTAACTGCCCCTCCTCCACGGCCGCCGCGCGGAGTCCCCGTGCCCACCGGCCACACTCAGACTAAACCAACTTAGAAAATAAGCTTCTCTTTAATGGGCGACGGGAGGAAGGGCGGCCGGGTGGGACCGGGGTTAGGGTGTCAGAAGCGCATCCCCCTGCGGGCGAGGTCGGCTCGCGCCTCCTGGATCTGGCTCTGCAGCTCGCGGGCGGCGTCCTCACAGTCGTGGAAAGTGGCCACGCGGTAGCCCACGGTGCCCAGGGCGTAGCAGCCGGCAGACACCAGCAGGTAGGCCGGCAGTGGCCACAGGACCTCCCGGCATGACGACGGCAGCTCCAGGCCCAGGGCCCCCGTGGCCAGAGCGGCCCAGGTGCAGCCCAGGAGCGCCAGTGCCCAGAGCCACTGCGCCAACTTCGTCATGGGTACTGCGGGAAGAGAAGGCACGGCTCAGCTCCCTCCCGCCCCGCTGCCCCCGGTCGTCCCTCTGCCGCCCTCCGTACAGGCCCCGCGGGGCCCCTCCGCCCCCGCGCCCGCCCGGCTCGCCCTCCGCTTTTGGCCCTCAACCCGCACTCACCTCGCCCGGCTGCTCCCGAACCCGGCGCGGCTCCCACGTCCGCCTCCCGAAGGCCTCTCGGCTCGCGCGGCTTTCTGGGAGTTGTAGTCTTCGCGCGCGGCCTCCTGGGAGTTGTGGTCCCGGCGGCGGCGGCCGCTGAGCTAGCCCGGCCGGGTTTCGGGAGCTTCCTGTGCCCTGAGTCTGCAGGGGCTTCGGCGCAGCTTCGGTCCCCCAGGGCCCCTCCCGAAGCTGGCGTCCTGCTGAGGACACCTTCAAACTTTGCAAGAAGATGGCAATGTTACGTCGTTCCCCTTAAACTTCTGCACAGAGGGGCGCTTGGGTGGCTCAGTCGGTTGAGCGTCCGACTTGGGTTCAGTTTCGTGGGTTCGAGCCCCGCATCGGGCTCTGTGCTCAGAGCCTGGAGCCTGTTTCGGATTCTGTATCTCTCTCTCTCTCTCTCTCGGAAATAAATAAAACATTAAAAGAAAGAAAACTGCACAGAAATCCCATTTATTCACTCATTCTTTCATTCACTCGAACGTTTCCTGATCACCGTGATAGACTTTGGAGGAATAGAGATGCCAAGGCATTGGGCCCAGGGCAGAGGCATTCGCCACTGACCATGATGCCCTGAGAGGGTGTTAGAACACAGGTTGTCATGATGTAACGGAGGAACGCTGGGGAGCACCAGTACAGCCTGGAGCCGGCTGGCGGGGGCTGGGGGGTGTCGTTCAGGAAGAAAAAGAAAATGTTCAGACAGAGGCATTACCTGATGAGTGGAAGGTATTGAGAGAAGGTGAACGAATACATCCTGTAAAGAGTTTTAGGTCTGAGTTCATGGTAGGTGTGTAGAGTGAAGGAAGGGGCCGCGATCGACATCAGGAGAAAGACTCACACAGGAGGGGGACGGACCAGAGCCAGCGGGCCTCGCCCTCCCGGGCGGCCAGAGTTGGGCCAGAGCAGGGCTGAGCAGAGTTGGGGTCACCCCAGGCTGCCAGAGAGCTCGCGCCGGCAGCCCCTCCTTGCACAGGAGAAAGGGGGTCATTACAGGGCGTGGGAACGCACTGAGTTCAGGTAATATTTAAAGGAAGCAGCATTTGGTATAGGTTCAGGCTAAGTGAATGTAAGTGAAGGAATTAGCAAGCCTGGATGGAGAGGTGGATTGAGGGGCCACTTCGTAGCTACAAAATTAAGATGACAATGTAGAGATTTATGTAATAGATAACTACAAATTAAGAGAAACATAGAATTTGTGTCCAGACGCCCGGCACTGAAGCTTGACACAGAGGCTGGAAACCGGGGCTCTCTGGGTGGAAGTGCTCTGCCCCCTCAGACCTCCAGGCCACGTATGTTCCCTTCTCACTGATGGATTTCAAATCGTAAAGTTCATGACTGCACGATTTCAGGGAACAGTTTCTCAGGCTCCTGTCCTTGATGTTAATTAACGAAAGCAGATTTTTACAGATTCACAGAGTCTTAGTACAGACGTTATGTAATTCAGCTGTGAAGACTATTTTCGCAGCCCTAATAATGTAAACACTGAATATTGAGTTAACATTGGGACATATTTGAATTGAGAGGGTGGGGGAGGGGAGCATATTCGAAAGATCATGAATAAAGAGAACCATGTCCCCATCTTCCATGGCAGGTGGTCAATTAATTATATCTAAAGTGTAAGGAAAGAAATATTAATATGAGCACATTACTAAGAAATATGAGGTGTGCCAAAGGAAGCTACGGTGAGGAGGGGAATGTGCCCAGGGGCAGGCGCTGCAGTAAGAGATGGCTTTGTAAACTATGCAAATGCCTTTGTTAAAGTAAAAATTAAGGGGCACCTGAGTGGCTCAGTCAGTTAAGCGTGTGGTTTGGGTCATGATCTCACAGTTCGTGGGTTCGAGCCCCACATCGGGCTCTGTGCTGACAGCTCAGAGCCTGGAAGCCTGCTTTGGATTCTGTGTCTCCCTCTCCCTTTCTGCCCCTTCCCTACTCATGCTCTGTCTCTCTCTGTCTCTTTCTCAAAAATAAATAAACATTAAAAATTTTCTTAAATACTAATAAAGTAAAAATTAAGACAAAATAAAAAACGTTTTTACGAGCTTGCTGTACGCACTTCAAAGCCACACCCCACGTGTTTCCCCATTTCACCCAAAATCCTACTGGTCACTCACTCAAGACTTCACTGCTCACAGTAACTTGCAGCACAGGTCAGGGGCGAGGTGTCAGCTCCACAGAGCCAGAAATTCTGTCTGTTCACCCATGGTAGACCTGGCCCTGAAAGATTGCCACTCCCCACAGCAGTTTCTGGGGAGAGATAATGCGAAGGGGCTTGCCCTACAGCACATAAAGATAGATAATAAATTATAACATTGTAATGACCATCGGCGACAGAATACAAAGCCAGTGAAGGGCTATGGTGTGGCACGCCCCATGGGGCATTGTGATATTTAATGTTCACAGCTGCAGCAGGTGCTTTTATATCCCCGCGTATAAATGAGGAAACTAGGGCAGACAGATGGTGACTGGTAAGTAAGTTGCCCCAGGTCCCAAAGGCAATGAGTGGCAGAGCTGGGCCATCGGACTCAAAGCTCTGTGCTTTGAGTGATTTCACCTCCCTGGCTTCTGGCACAGGAAGGGGCCGAGAGGAACCAGCGTGGCGGCTGACGGTCACTGATTGATTGCCTAGTGCCAGGCACTGCAGTGAGTACTTTATGGGCAGTACCTCGTTCAATCTTCCTGGCCGCTGTGTGCACCAGGTACTATTATTATCTCCATTTCACAGATGAGGAAACTGAGGCAAACCCCATGTAATCTGACTTCAGAGCTTGCAAACTCTGCCGTTGCCATAGAGCACTTCTCTCTGTAGGTTGATGGAACAGAATAAAAATGAATAAATACATAAAAAAGACACCAGTTTAGGGGCACCAGGGTGGCTCAGTCAGTTAAGCCTCCGACTCTTGATTTCAGCTCACGGGTTTGAGGCCCACATCGGGCTCTGCACTGACAGTGCCCAGCCTGCTTGGGATTCTCTCTCTCCCCCTTCCTCTGCCCCTCCCCTGCTCTCTCTCTCTCTCTCCCCCAAAAAATAAAAATGAAAATGAAAGATATATATACCAATTTAGCCTGGGAAAACACGGCAACGCAAGCGAGGGAAGAGGGATGACTTAAGAGCCATTTGCAAGCAGCTTACCATTTGAAAAAGCAAATTGTTAGATTTCAGCCTCATACCTTATCCCAAAATAAATTCCCAGGGCATTAAAAAAAATTGAATGTGAGGGGCGCCTGGGTGGCTTAGTCGGTTGAGCGTCCGACTTTCGCTTAGGTCATGATCTCGCGGTTCGTGGGTTCGAGCCCCGCGTCGGGCTCTGTGCTGACTGCCAGCTCGGAGCCTGGAGCCTGTTTCAGTCTGCGACTCCCTCTCTCTCTGACCCTCCCCTGCTCACGCTCTCTCTCTCCTAGAAATAAATAAAACATTAAAAAAAAAATAAAAAAAAATAAAAAAAAAAAATTGAATGTGAAAAAATGAAACCCTAAACATGCCGTACATATTTCTCTGTGTTCGGTTCAAGCTTCCTGTCCTCTAGGGCTGCAGGCCTGGGCCCTGCGTTCCTCCTCGGAGCGCGCAGACTCTGATAGGGAACCGAACCACGCTGAGCAGCAGGGTGTTTATTTCCCTGCACGGCCTGCCTGGCGACAGCGCGGCTCCAGGACCCAGCGCCGCGTAAGGAACCCGGCAGGGCTTCTAGAAACGTAAGATGAGGGACAGACGCAAGGACAGGCTAACATTTGATGGCCCCCAGGGAAACTGACCCGGCTTTCCGGGTGCCGTGAACTAGAACTACTTCAGAGACTCCCACCGGCCAGACACGGGGCCCTTGGCCTTGGACAGCAGGGGACAAAAGCCAGCAGATTCTTATGGTCCAACCGCTTTGTCTTCAGCCTTTTTGAAGATCATCACTGCTCTCCTGCCGCAGAAGGACACAGTACGCGTGAGCATAGCAGGGCGTGAGAGGGACTTGAAAGTGTGGGTTTTAGAGCCTGGCCGTCTGCAGTTAGGTCCTTGCTCTTTCTCTTCGCTGCATGACCTTGGGCAAGTAACACAACCTTTCTGAGCCCCTAGATAATGGAGCCAATAACAGGTCCTCTCTCTGTAGGACTGCCCTGGGGATTAACCGTGAGCAGCGTCTGGGAAGCCTGCACGGAGTGTGGGCCGTCTCGCTGTCAATAGTCACCTTCAGGGCTGAGGACACCCCGCCGCACAGTGCCCCCCAAGCCTCCCCGCCATCTTCTATGGGTGGCTAAGCTCACGTCTGCGGGGGTTCTCAGCTTTGGCAAGCTTCGGCATCAGAGGAAGACGACACCCAAATCTGGGAGCCCTCATTCAACGGTGCAAACCCACACCCCGCACAGAGAAGGGGTTGACTTCCGGGGGGCCGGTTGATACCGGGAAGATGTTCGTGGGGGCGGGAGGGGGCCTCGATGGCCCAGGGAGCCCCAAGTAAAGGCTGAGACACAAGAGCGTTCACCGGGAGTGACTCTTGGTGACTGTGTTTTGGACAGAGACCATTTCGTGGGGGTGTGGCAGGCGATGAGGCCGGCAGAGCAGGCCAAGGCCAAGGCTGCTAGAGACACCTGCAAAGTACCTGTGCTGCGGCCGCGGTGCTGGGGCGCAGGTCAGCAGCCTCCCCCGGACCCCAGGTGCCCACAGGTGCCATGCTGATTACTGGGTCCTTGGGGAAGGTTCCAGTGAGTCGGGCTGTGTTGCCTCCATCCCTGACCTGAGGGCCACAGGCCACAGAGGCCACAGAGGCCACAGGACAGACACACATGTTATTAACAAAAACACACACCACATCAGAGCCGGGCCGGAGGGGAAATGGTAGATCAGAGATGGAGTGCCCGGGTGAGTCAGCGTTTCCCGGGCCGGAAGGGGGAGGGGAGACGCTGGCCCGAGGGAAGAGGCCCCAGGCTGTTTCTGGGGACGCAGCAGTCTAGAGTTGATGCGGGTGAAAGGGGGGTTTCAGCAAAGAGCCTGAACGGTGAGATGCTGTGTTGCTAAAAGAAGCTTAAACATCGGACACAAA